TCCCAATTCTGACTGCTTATAGTGAACTCAGTCACATCTGTGAAATAATAAAGAAAAGAAACCCAATGCTTTGCAGTGTTTCGTCTCAAAATATTAAAAATAAATAAATGTATTAGTTCTAGAACATTTCCTTTCATAAATTTGTTTGAATGATTTAGCAATTTCTCCAGTTCTGACCACTTTGTTCGCTCTTTTGTTTGTTTTCATACCTCCTTATGGCTTCCTCCTGTTTTCTTTTTTTGTCGTTTTTTTCCTGCAGGTATGTCCTATTTCTCTCATTCCTGGCGTGGTCCAAGTTCTGAGCTATCAGGCCGCTGTAGGCTCTCAGCCCATTCTCCTCAACATATTGGAAAAACCTCAGAGTTTCCTCCTCTTTGGAACTCATCATTCTTCAAGTCTTTCCACTGCATTCTAATGAGGAGATACAAGAAGCCCACAGTTATTTGACCTAGCAGAGACAAATATTTATTAGGAAATGGGACATTGTAGCTTGCTGATATTTGTGCGTTCAACTTGAAAAACAAGCACTGGATTGTGTCATGATTTCTTATTCCAGTCTTGACTTTCCTTGTCATTTCCTAATGAAAGCCACCAGGAAATGATAAATGATAAAATAGAAGGAAACAAAAAGTCATTGAGTTAAATCTGAAGTCAATTTTGTTGTTTCTCTGACTTATCAAGAGTTCATGACCAGTAGAAGGTCTCTGTTGGTTGTGAGATTTGCATGATGCTGGTCTCAGGGGGAAAAAATAACTGGAATGATGCAAGACTCTTTATGGCTGCAACATGTTTTCAGTGCACACATACAAACACTTACTTACACACAAACACACACATATGCACAAACATGTGCAAACAGTCATGGGATTTAACACCAAACTACAATTAATCATAACGTCCTGTTTGAGTGTGGATCAGAGGCGAGTGCTCGTTTTCTCAGTTGTGTTTTCACATTTCCTGGCTGAAGTTGCCGGCTGTAGCCGAGCGAGTGTGAGAATTAAAATTGAAAATGYGGCTTTCATCTTCTGCCGTTGTAATATGTGTTGGGCTCAGATGTGGAAACACAGCACTCATGGGACAAATCAGATCTGCACAGACAAAATGAGCCAATCTCACAAGACCACAAGGCATAATTTTAGCATCTACAAAGATAGCAGTTTTGTTTTATTTAATTATTTCTTTTAAAGCKACCAAAGCCTTCCTCCGGTGGCCCYCTTTTTTATGTAAAAATAATCYAATACATTGCTTTGTTAAGAAAGTGCAGTGATGCAGCTAGGACACATTTACATTTAGCAGCATTGCATTCAGTTTAACGTGGCGTTGTCTGCATCTACTTGAGATGTAAGCACAGAGCGGAGCAGTTAATGATGCGCTTCAGTCTGCATGCTTGTGCAGGATGCATTTTCCTCAAAAACCCCTTGCAACAGCATGCATCATGGTATAGGGCATGTGCAACCGCCCAATGTGAATTCGAAGGGGCTAGTAAGGGATGAGAAGACAGAGCATGGTTTTATGTAGGTCAATGTTTTCAGATCAGCCTAAGACTCATGCTTGTTTACGTGAGGGAAGCACTGAGTGTGAGTGAGCGTAGGGGAGGGGGAGGGGGGGCTTGTGATTACTGTATGAATGTTTATGTGCACAGAGAAGGCAAGGGCAGCAAAGGGGTCTTGGAGGGCAGCCAGATGGAGAATGCAAGGCCAGCGGAGAGGCGGGCCATTGTCTGGCCATCCTCAGCATCCTTCTACACCATGTCTGACTATGAATAATCTGACCATGTGCTCTATAGGTCAGTAGGTTTATCTGTACGTAGGTCGCGCTCCCSTTGATGCATAATAACATTGCTTAGCTCAGTCCCTTCACAGGCACAAAGAGGAAACTGGTGGGAGTCAAAAACAGCAACCTCCTCCTCAGAGCAGAGTTTAATAAACTAGGGCACGGAAGCCTGGTGTCAAGTGTTGGAGTGATTTTTATCTCTCCATCGTCGGGTCTTATCACGAGTGCACATCCACACATGTTCATCTGAAATCGGAAGCTGCACAAATGGAAAGAAAGCTCGGTCTCTGGGAAGGAACATTGTGCTTCCATRAGAGTTGAGGAGATGAGAAAGCACAGTTCAAACAGTGTTTGAGCTGAATTAAGCCTGCCTGCCTAATCCCTGTAAGCCAGCAGCAGCCCTCGGCACTGGAATCAGCTTGTTTATCACACTGTTTTTTTTTACCGGCCAAGCCTTTCACAATGGATTGTCTTTCTATAAATTATTGGTGTAAGATGAAATCACCCCCACCCCACTCCCTGCCCTATGGAAATATTATAAATTCAGCAATAAGTACTTTTAACCAAAATCCCATTTTCCCCCATACCGCCCTTTTGCTTTTTCACATTTATTCATTTTTATATCACCCCCTCTTCCCCCATTATTTTATTTTATTTTATTTTATTGCCCCAGATGACATGGCCCGCAACAGTTGGATCTGAGGTGCTCTCTGCTTTAAAACTAAATGATGGTGGCACATCATTTCTGTTTCTAGGCAACCGTGTCACAGGAGAGGGCTAGCATGGATATTCTGGAGACACAATGTCAAAAAGATTTCAAGGCCAACAGTTTAGTGGCCAGACACATGCATGCTCGTGCGTGCATACACAGCCCACTCACACACACACACACACACACACACACAC